CCAAAGCCCCAGTAGATAGTTGTATGTCATAGTTGCACATCCTTCTAGTTGCTGTATGTGGGACGCAGCCTCAGCATGGCCTGAGAAGCGGTGCGCCGGTGCGTGCCCAGGATCAGAACCCAGGCCGCCAGTAGCAGAGCGTGCGCACTTAACCGCTAAGCCACGGGCCGGCCTGTCACAGTGGATTCTAATTGAGAGGCAGTACAATATGGTGAAAACATTGGACGTGAAGATCGTGATTGGCCTTTTTTTTGGATGCAATTCTGGGAGTCTCAAACTAAGAAACAGCTATTATTCCTGAAAAAAAATAGGCTTGTGAACTTTAGCATAAACAATGTCTTTAAATAATCTTGTGTTAAGACTGGAGCTTCTAGTGTCAAAGGACAAACCACTGTTTTTGCTTCTATTCTAGGCACTGCCTGCTCACCTGTGAGGAATGCAAAATTAAGCATGGATTAAGTGAGAAGGGCAGTTCACAGCCTTCGGCTTCCTAAACACTGTATCTCTGGCTTTTGAAGTTTCTTAAACCTCTAAATTTGTATGCATTTAAAATTTCAAGTGTACTTTAAAATAATATACTTATGGTGGAGCAGAAACATTGTGATTCTCTCTATTGAAATGCTTTCTGTGGAAGATTCTCAACTGAATTGAGCATTATATGTTTTTCTGCTATTTAAGGACGTGTTGGGAGCCCTCACACACCATAAAGAAATTATGTTGCACCCTAACTTGCTTACAGCCTAATAAAAGAATTTAGAGTCTTCTCTGATTCACCCGCATCCATTCTTTCACTCCGCTTTTGTTCAGGGTTTTAAGATCTCTGACAGAAGACAGGAACGAATGTTGAGAAACTTGGGAAGACGTGCCCCCAAAGAAAACCAATGTGTATGGACATAGAAACACAGGGCAAGAAAGATTGTGTCTTATAGGTATGGGAAGTACTTTCTAAAATGTAGGGACCCAGATTTTTAACTTAATGAAAAATATTTCATTTGAAGGAGTCACACTAGGAATCAACTGTCCTTTTGGTGACCTAGGCGACTTTATGCCTCATTGCTATGGTAGTTTTGGAAAAACCCCATTGTCTTTAGGTTACTTGCTTAGCTAATGGGTACACGCTCTTGGTCAGTGCTCAAGAACTGGGTTCCTTTATATACTGCTAGTGGCCTGAAAGAATAAGCAGCTTCCCAAACTGTCCCTCCTCCCAAGGAACAGTTTATTTATGGGAAGAGTCCTGGAGGAATGAATTCGTAGAATGATAACCTTTAAGGGCTACAGGGAGCTTAGAAGCAGCCGATCCAACCCCAAGAGTTGGATTCCTACTCTGCCGTGTTTTTTGCATGAAAAAGAAACCAAAACTCTTCCAGTAGGGGCCTTTTGTTTTATGGCAGGTTGTCTGAGCCCTACATAAAAACTTCTCTTGAATCTCTGCATTTTCTCAGGAAAATGCTTTACATATATGTGTCACCATTTATATATTGGGTTTGTGTGTGTGTACACGTTTGCGTTTTACTTAATACGTCTTGAAATCTGTACCATGGAGGTAGAAAGGAAAACCTCCTCAGAAGTTAAACATGATATGAAATATTTTAAACATCAAAAATATTTGGAAGTTTTTATTTTTGCATGAACGTTAAGTGTATGAAATGGAGTGATTTTTGACTGTCCTTTTTTTTATTATCTATCCTGGTTTTTCAGTTGATAAAGTTCTATTTCTGTAAATCAGAACACTGAGCCAATATCCGAGCTTCTTGGATGCAGTTTAACTCTTGGCTCTGACACTAGCAATTGCTGGCTCTTTGTTATCTCAGCTATTGGCAAAAATTCAGAATTGGGCACATTTATTTCCCGAATCCCAGAAAACGATTTTCCAAGGATCAGAACATTTTCACATCGCTAAGCACAGCAAGTCAACATTGAAATCGGTCTTGGAGTACTGGGAAAAGATGAATCTATTATTGTTGAAAGGGCACATTGTTTTTACTGCTGACATCTTCATAGTTCTTTTGAATTAAATTGGATTTATTGTTTGGGCTCTGCACTTTTCATAAGTAGATAGTTATTCATTCAAGCAGTTTATCACAGTGATCTTAGTGTGAAAGGAAATCAATAAAGAAACAACAGGAAGGTCATCCAAGAAACCTTGAATATTTTGCTGCATTATCTATTGTATATATTAGGAAGCAAGTATCTGGGGGAGAATGCTGTTTCTTGTAGGAAGATGTGTTAAAGGAGCTGCATTTGTCTTTTAGCATTTAGCAATTACCAACACTCATCTCCAAGGTGGTCATAAGCTTATGAAAGTAGTACCTTCATGATGGAAAAAAAAAAAGGAAAAAAAAAAAAAGACCTTAGCAAAGAACAATAGCATAAAATTGTAAATTTACATAAAAGAAAGAACTGCTGAAACTACACGATAAAAATAGGATGTCTAGCCGAATTTATTGGTAAACTTTCCCTATTATGATATGGACTGATATTCTAGAATGAAGAAAATGGAAAATATTCCATTATTTCACATTTGGTTAATGGAATTTAAAATGTAACATTTAACTACTTTATCCCTGGATGTACCTATAAGTAGAGACAAACTTGAGATCTGAAACCAACCGGCCTTGTCATACATTTGTACTTTATCTAGAGAGCATAGTAAACCGTTGTTACCAGAGAAGAATGGCACTAATGAGAATAAGGATGATCCTTATCCAATCAGAAAACAACATCAGAATGATTTATTTTAGTCCCATGCATCCTCTGACACTCCAGGGATGCCTAGAAGTGTGTTTCTTTCTTGGGTTACGTATGAATGGATGACTAGAAAGGATTTTTCAAGATATTTTTAAATTTTGAGACATTGCTCAGACATTCCACCCACTGTTAGCTAAGGTGACCATTTGTCTCTAAATTTTGCCTAAGTTTGTGTGATCCTGGAGTTCAAAAGTTATTGCTGGAGTTAAACTATATTCTGCCTGAAATGTACATTTCACAATTTAAAAAGTAGTAGAATAATCCTTTTGCATCTGATTCTCTTATCAAAATATCTCAGAATTTCCAGGAAAAAAAACATAACGTCTCTCTCTATATATATCATCAATATATATATAATGATGTACTGTATATAATGCTAATATATTTTTTAAATTCTCATTTAAGCAAAGATATTCTCTTCCTTTGCTGTCAGAATAGATGATTTATCTATTTTCTGTTAACATGATAGTAATAAAATTTATCTTGAATGACGATTAAGTGATGAAAATATCATGTAGGTAATTTTCTTGATATTCAAATAATGCAATCTGTTAATCGACAGAAAGCTTTTCCACTTTGGAACTCTGCCCCCAAATTTCAACTATAAAATTTGATTTCATAGACATTTAGAGTTGGCAGAGATTTCAGTGATTAATCCAGAGGCTGCGAAGTCCAGGACCAGACAGACGATGTAATTGAGTGAGGCTGGATTAGTGGCATATTAAACACAGGTATATTCTTCCACACACACAAATATGTGGGCCCACTGCTGTTAAATGTTACAATTTTTAAAACAAACAAGTGCAGGTTTTTATGTGAAATATTCTGGTTTTTAAATGTTCATTCTTTCATGTATTCAATAATAGAGCACCCACTCTGTGCCAGGCACTATCCTGGGTCCTGGGAATGTTGCACAGTGAACACAACCAACAAAATTCCATCTTCCTGGAGCTTATATCCTCATCACCAGTTTGTGGCTTGAGATCCAGCCCAACCTCCCACCCACTGTGGAAACCCCACCTGTGTCGGGACAGGTGAGATTCTAGGACCTCCATTTGTGCTTCCAGGGGAAGGACACCTGCTCCTCCACGGTGTGCAACCCAGTACACTGCCCAGCTGCTGAGCTATTCAGAAAGGGCTGTGGGAGCCCAGGTCTGCCTCCCTCGCCTCTAGACTGGGACCTCCTCCAGGGAAGGAGGTCTATCTTTTTTAACTTGTCTGAATCTCCAGCCCCAACCAGAGTTCTTGGCCAGATAGGCACTCATAAATGTTTGTCAGCCTAAACAGCCTAATTGCCCTGTGGCTACAAAATAGAATCTTTGTTCTTCCTTCACATAATAGCCTTTAGACACTGGAATGCACGTTCCCCTCAGAACTCTGGCTAAAGGGCCCCAGTGTTTTCCACCATTGGAGTGGGTACCCAGCCCTCTCACATCCTGGTCTTGGGACACACCTTGGTTTGTGATATTGATGTCCTCACAAACCAAGACTCCAGAAATGGCTTGACTAGTTCAGAGGAGAACAGGATTATTGTGCTTTTTGTTTTCAGGCACCAGAACTGATAGCAAGGGTCACTCTGTATCAGGCCCTGTGCTCAAATCCATGCTCCACCACTTACAGGCTACCTGATATCAAGTCAGTTATTTATCTGTTCTGGGCCTCACTTTCCTCATCTGTAAAATGGAAAAATTTTAGACTTACCTGACAGGTTGTTCATGAGAATTAAATGAGCTCATACTTATAAAACACTTAGAACAGTGCATGGCTCAGAGTAACCACTCAATGGATGTTAGTTATCACCACTACTACTACTACTACTACTACTACTACTACTACTAATGCAGTCCAAAAATGTGTGATTGTGTCACACTTTTGGCCCCTGGTAGGCTTTTTCATATTGCCCAACTTTAAGTCATCTCCCCATCTTATGCTTGTACAACTGGTCGTTCTGAACTTCAGTGTCTCATTATACACTTATCTCTTTTCAATTTTAAAATGCTATTTTCAGGCCCAACTATCTGTCCTTTTCAGTCTAAAATTTTGTGATTCAACAGGCGAGTATTGTGCTATCTGCACTGAAAAATACTCCATTTACCCCTTTTGTTTCTTAGTGTATAGTGTTCATGTTTGGTAAGTGTGCAATTGTTGTTGACTGAATGATTGACTTGAAGGAGAATATGTTATAAAATACAAACCTCAAATCGTAGTTTGGATTATTAGAGATTCTCTCATCTCTAGCTGTGGGTGGGGCAAGAATGAGGGTCAGAATGGGAAAGTGACAAAAGAGGCAGGACCGGGGAGGTAGAAGTTAATAATGGTGGAGAAAGAAATATCAAAAAGGAACCTCCCTGAAGAAGAGTTTGAAAATCAGGGCGGATACCACAGCCCTTATGATTTGGAAGCCTAGAAATGGCTTCCTTCATTAATTCAACAAATATTTTTCAATATCTACAATATGCAAGGCAGTGTGCTAGAACAGGGATACATTCATACATAAGATAGTCCCTGCCCTCAAAGAGGTAAGTAGGGGAGATAAGATATGTAAATAAATAGCTATAATACACTGTGATGTAATGTCTGTATGAGATACACACAGAATAAATGCCACCAGAATACAGGGGCAGCAGCCGTTACTTTTGCTGCGCTTGTAGATTGTATCACTGGCCCAATTCCTTACCTCTCCTTACAGCCACCCCTTTTGTCATGTAATTTTGCATTTCCTTCCCACTGTGAGTGAGACCTACTTACCAATCTCTTGACTTTGAGTTTGTCCATATGACTTGCTTTAGGCAAGATGTGAGGCAGAAATGAAGGTGTGCCAGTTCCAAACTTGGGCCTAAAGAGACCTGTGTTTCCACTTGTGTCTCTATCATGACATAACATGCCCAATACTAGATGCAGGAGCAGTACCTACTGATCCATCAGCTCCACAATGCCCATAAGGGCTAATCCCTATATTAAACCCCTTACTCGATATCATTCACGGCAATTCTGCTTTTCTATCAAACTCCAATGCAGAGA